TTCGACTTCTCCCCATGTACTCCTCTCCCGACGCCTGGGACTCCATTGCCGACTGTGGCCGCCACTCAACTCGCTGGCCGCTCGCATGACCTGTGCGATTGCGACTGGGAGGGACCGACTCCCATCGAAGTCGGAACGCAAAGTCCTGTCAGCGGGTGCTCCTCGAACCCAGCTGTCCAGGCTCAGCGAGTATGTTGCGAGGAGGGGTCTCGCCTTTCCGCCGAGCTCAGAACGCAAAGTCCTGACGGCGGGTGCTCCTCGAACCCGCCGCCTCAGGCTCTTAGAGTACGTTGCGAGGGTCTCTCTGCTGGGCGGTGCTCGGTTCTTCCCACGTGCTCCCCGTCAGCGGATATGGTCAGAACGCAAAGCTCAGCTCTTGGGTGCTCCTCGAACCCTGAGCCACGAGCTATCACTAATTGTGGGGATGACACTGTGGCGCCTCTTGCTTCGCGAGCTGCCAGATTCTCTCCTCGCGGCTGGATCTGGTCGACGACTCCGTGGGGTACGTCGCCATGCTCTCAGACGCGGGCTCCCCCGACCCTGATGGCTACCCCTTCGGCGCCGACCGCCACGGGCGCTTCTCGGATGGCGGCTCTCTCGTTTCGGGTTGCCACGAGCCGCGCGTCCTCGGCCACTCCGCGATCTCAGAGGCTATGGCCTTCCTCTCCACGTCCCGCGTCCTGGTCCCCCTCCCGCCCTGACTCCCCGCCTGGAAAATTCCAGTCCAGCGTGCCCGCTTCTCCCGTTCTCGGTGCCCAGTGCCCCTCTCCCCACGCCGTCGTGCCACCCCGCCTCTCTGTTCTGTCCTCTGCTGCTCACCTCACGTCGCCGCACGGTGACCTTCACTCTAATCCTTTAGTCCCCCCTCCTGGTCCTTCGCTCGCGAGATCTGCTGCTGCTGTTGCTTGCCCCCCACCTTCTCACCCTCCTCTCATCGCGACGTTCACCGTCCCTGTCCAGCTGCCTGGTCGCTCGAATTCTGTTCTTTTTCCGTCCACAGCTTCCAGCTCATCATCTGCCGCTGCACCCAGCCCCCCGTCATATATAAATACGGCTGCGCTGGGCACCATCTTCAACCTGGCGCTGAGCGCGGAGGACGCACCTGGCGCCCCGCCGCCCGCGCCCCTGCCCCCGCCGCCGTAGGTGGGAGGACACGCGGCCCCCCCTACGCTCGTCTCCTCCTCCCCCTCCGCCGCCTCCTCCTCTCAGGCGATCGCGAACATGGATCAAGGGGGCGTGGATCAGCGACGGGTCCCGTTTTCAAAGGAAACCGCGGAATCCCGCCGCCGAACGGGGGAGGGCACCTCCCCCGATCCATGGATTTGGCGACCGCGCGCCAAATCCATCGATCGCCAATCTATGCTTGCGCCCTCCCGAACGAGGTCGTCTGCACGGACATTGGCGCGAAGCTGCCCGCGTACGGTCGCGCGTCAGCGCCGTCGTTTCCAACGTGGCGCGCCGCGCTGTCGGCACCGCTTAATTTCGCTGGGTCATCTCGCCTGGGTACCGTTCCGTTTCGTCGCTCATCTGGGAAACGAAACGCGGTATACCATGAGACCCATGGGGCTCAAGAGGGGCTCTCTGGTTTTTGGGCCGCTCCGGAAACGAATCGTGGCCGAGGACCTCCGTGGCCAGAAAAGCCCTTTCGTTCCCAAGCCAGCGATCCTCATAGTACTCTGGCACGATGATTCTACCCCGACGCCATGCCAGGTGGAGAATTGTTAATGGGTCGTTCCTCCCCCAGGGCGGGAGAAATGTAGTTCCACGAGCTCGAGGATTTGACAGTCCTCTCCGCCACGGGCTAGCGCCCCCCCCCCTCCAGCCGTGCTGGGCACGGACTCCCTTGCACGAGGCGGCCAAATTGGCCCGGCGAAGGACCCGACTACATTTGAGTCGGGCCTGTCCCTCTGCAGGAGGGAAATAATTCAAACATCGTCGAAGAATAGTCGTCAACCATTTATTTTTTTTGTTCATTTGGGGGGGACGTTTTCCGTAGTTTTGTATTGTTCCCCCGGAATCCCTTTGTAAGGGGACATGCCCGACTGAAAACTACATGCAGCTGCGAGTATCGCAGGATGTGCCCCTCTCAGCACAAGCAGCGCGCCGCGAAAGGTGTTGAGCACGGGGCATCGCGGATGGGAGCCCCGAAGCATGCGTGGGGCGTGCCGAAGTGAGCGGAGGGCGCATGCGGGCGCTGCCACTGGGGCTTACGTCCAGAGTTCCCTGTGGGGTAATGAAAAGCGTGTGAAGGATGTACCGAAATCGCCGGAGGCCGCCATGCGAACCCTGCCACTGGGGTCTTCGGTGGAGCAGGCAGGTATTTATGGAGTCCCAAATCCTAATCTACTTCAGGCGCCTTCCCACTTCAGGAACCGATATGATTTTGCTGTGGGTTGTTATTATCTCCGAGGGCTCAACCCAATCTAGTCTGCCCGCCTTCCTACATTACATGTTCACCTACTTCTTCCGGCCGACGTGTACGGTAGCTTCGTGTCGTGTCGAACGGCGGCAACCCGGCAACCCCGCCAGCGGCGTTCAAGTTTGAACGCCGCGGGCGGCCCAGAACCGTTCGATGTGGAACGGTTTGGACGCTTCGGAAGCGGCCGATCGTTCGAGGTTGAAGGATCCCCGCGGCGTCAGAAACCAACGCCGAAGCCGGCACGACACGGGCTTGACGCAAGCACACTTCTGCCAGCGGCCACCGCGGACTTCCTGGATCGGCGACGGACCCTCCCGGCCCGCGCCCGCGACGCGTCCCCCGGCGCTCTCCCGCGCGCGGGGGAGGGCGGGTCCAGCGCCCATCCAGGACCTCCGCGCAGAACTTCGAGGGTTAGGTTTTAAGCTTCTGGTCAGAGGAGGAGGAGGTACCCATATACCGCTACACTTCGCCAGTTGATTCCCCTTGCTCGGCCTCCCGGGAGGCCCTCCTCGCCTCCGCTGGACTCCGTTCGAAGTCCTGGTCAGAACGCGCCCCTTGAGAGGCCCAGGGAACAGCGGTTTCGATCTGGGGTTCCAACGTCCCGCGGGCCCTGGCCACCAGGAAGAATGTCGAGCACCAAGGAAATTATCGGGACTGGGCGGTTTTCACGTCCCGCAGGCCCTGGGAGGCGAGATTCGTTCGGCCCCTCGCCGACTGTTTCGTTACTTTACGGGGTGCTCGAATTTATGTCTGGGATGTGGCCCTGAAGTGCGATGGGAAAGGGGGGTTACGAAAACAGGTGCTGCACGCTGTCGGCGTCTGCACCGCCGCCGCTTTCCTTTATACATTTGCGTATCCGGTGCTGGAAGGCGCCGCAGAAATCAGATACGCGAGCCGATGCGCAAACCCCCCCTGTGCTAGGCTAACCCCGCCTGCCGTTCGACCCGACAGGATCAGCGCGGACCTCCAAATGTTGTGTTATGTTTATGTTGGTGCTTGCTATTGCGAAGGCCTTCCAGCTGGTGCCGCCGACCCTGAATGACGACGACGACGACGACGACGACGACGACGAGCGCTCTCGGGGGCCTCTTGGGGGTAGTTTGGGCGCCTCTTGGGAAGCTCTTGGGGGCCGCTTGGGAGCCTCGTGGGGGCCCTTTGGGGTTTCCTGGGGGTCTCTTGGGGTTCTCTTGGTTGGGGCCTCATTGGGGGTCTCTTGGAGCCTTTTGGGAGGTTTCTTAGGGGCCTCTGGGGGCTTCCTGAGAGCTTTTCAGGCCGAGGGCTCGAAATGTCCGTTCGGGTCTCCGGTCTGGGCTCCCTCTTGGAGCCGTCTTGGGGGCCTCCTCGGCTGTCTTGGAGGCCTCTTGGGCGGTCTTGGGGCCCTCTTGGGTCGTTGTGGGGCTCTCTTGGAGGCCTCTTGGGCCATCTTGGAGCGGTCTTGGGGGCCTCTTGGCTGGTCTTGGAGCGTCGGGAAGCTGACAAGGCGAGAATGCTGAAATCTTTCAAACACCTAGCAACAATCTATGATTGTTGCCCCTTGGGGCCCTCTTGGAAGTTCCCTTCCCTTTGAGGCCTCTTGGGGCGTTTTGGAAACTTTTTGAGCCGTCTGGAGGCTACTTTGGCGACTTGGACCGATACTTCGGCGATTCGGGGCCCTCGAGGATCGTCTTGAGGACGTTTTGGAGCAGTTTTGCTGCGTCCTTCGGCTTTTCTTGACCGCCCAACCGCCCGAGGGGGAGTCGTGCCTGCCCCGGGACCCCTCCCCCGGGCCCCCCCCGGGACCCCCCTTCGACTCAACCACAACGTTGCTCCATCTCGCTGTGGCTGGCGCGCTCGAGGAGGAGCACCCGGCGAAAGCGCGGGAGCGGCGACGGGCCTCGGAAAAGGGGGGTAAGCGAGCGGCGAAGGCGACGACGACCACGACGACGACGACGACGACGACGACGACGACGACGACGACGACGACGCGTCAAACGGAACAGCCTCTTCCACACGCCGACAGGGTCGGCGGATTTCTGGGATTTGCTTGTCGATTTGGCTGGGATTCCGAGCCGTCGCCGTTGTTTGACAGTCTGGGTTGCGATGTAGCGTGTGCAGGCCGGTTGTGACGCCAAAGGGGTGACAGACACATGCTCGCGGTCGGTCACGCGGGACTGGGTAGTCGAAGGCCAGACTGTCAGATTGGATTGGGCCCCAAGGGCCAATCTGGCCTGGCCAAACTGGAGGATTGGGGTTATTCGCCAGACTGGATTCGCGTTGGCTCCATCGCCAGATTGCCCCCGTTTGCCAGATTGGGCCTGCCAGATTGGCGCCAGATTGGCTTCGACTACCCAGCGGGAGCCGCACTCCGAGCACTTTCGGCTCAGGTTTTTTGTTGCCGCTGGGCGTCGGTCCTTGCGTTGGCGGCGAGCGATGGGGCGGAAGTGAGAAGGAGAAGGCCTCCTCAGAGGGCGGCGGGGCTGCTCAGGAGCCCTCCGGCCTTCTGAGAGGTCATTCTGAGGCTGAGAAACCTTCCCTCCGAAGTCCCGAGGCTTCTGAGAAGCCTTCTGAGAAGGCCCCGCCCCTTCCTCCTTTCCCCCCCCAGGCTCGCCAGCCCCTCGGCTCCGGTCCGCTGCCGCCCCCACAGCCGGCCATGCCCCGCCTGCAGCTCGCCGCGGCCCTGCTGCTGCTCTGCGGCCCCCTGACGACCCCGCGGGCCCAGGAGGTGCTGCAGCCCCTGCTCGTGGACGACGAGTGCGCCGCCGGCGGCGCCGCCGGCGACGAGGCCCTCGAGCCTCGAGACGGGGGCCAGTCAGCGAGCGCGTCTCGCAACGTGCCTCTTCGCAAACGTCCAGAACAAAAAAAACATGCCTGCCTCGGCGCAATGGATTGTAAATGCCCCCGCGGCGGAGGCGGGCCGTTTGCGAGTAGCTACTTTGCGAGTGGTGGAACAAGCTTGTCCAGTCCATGCTTGTCGGGGGTCGGCCACAGCGCTGAATCTTGCAGGATCCTGCAGAGCCAGGGGTGCCATGACTCGGGCTTGCGTTCGGGGTCTTGCGGGATCCTGCGGGTTCTTGCAGGATTCTGCGGAGCCTGACTGACCCGGGTTGGCATCGTCGGCCACGCGCAGGGGGAGTAAGGGCAGGGGAGAGGGCTTCTCAGAAGCACCGCTGCGTCTTAGAAGGCGCGTGCCTGCAGCCTGGCGCCTTCCTAGAAGCAGCCTCCTTCCAAGAAGCCTTCCCTCCTCCCCCATATCCCCTCGTGCGCGCCGCCACCACTGACCTGGGTCGGCACAGGCCCGAGAGGCGTGCAGCGTGCAGATGCTGCAGGCGGGCGCCAGCAAGCAGGACGGCAAGGGCGCGGCCTCGAAGAGCATCCCGGACCTGGCCGCGGCGGCCGGCGCGGCCGCGGCGCGCGCGGCTGCCGTGGCGCTGCTGCAGAGGCAGTCGGGGGAGGGCGCCGAGGCCGCGGCCGGCAGGGCCCAGGAGCACAGGAGGAGGGAAAGGGGTATATCACCACCCACCAAACCACCCCAACCCAACCCGAAGGCTCAGATTTACCCTCCATTTCCAGTGGGGGGGGGGGTCGGGAAACATCGAAAAAGCACATGTGGAACCCTTACCCCCCCCCCAACCCGAAATTCGGGTCTTCGGGTTGGGCTGGGGTGGTCTGGTAGGAAGTTAGTATATACCCCACACTGCTGCCCCTTCGCCCGTGTTCCCCGTGTTCGGCCTCCTGGCAGGCCCTCGCCGCCACGGCCGGCCTCGCCCCGAAGTCCCGGTCCGAGCGCGCCCCGGGGTCGGGCCCGGGGAGTGGCGGTCTCGGTGCCCTGCGGCTTCCCCAGGAGCACACCGCGGCAAGGGCGCCCCCGAGGGCGCGAAGTTATTCGCGCTTCGCGCTTCGCGGTCCTCGATCCTTCTCCCCCTCCTCCTCGTCCTCCTGTTCTCCCTTTGGGGGGGCGGCGCGAGAGCGCGAAGTTATTCGCGCTTCGCGCTTCGCGGAGCGCGAAGCGCGAAGTTGGGAGCCCTAGCCGCGGACGTTGGCGCCCAGGGGTCGGGGTCGGTGGACCGCGCCACCGCGCGCAAGACCTGCGGGTCCACCGGCAGCAGGTGCTGAGCCGGCGCCCTGCGCTCGATCGCCCCCCTCCCCGGAGAGCGCAGCGGCCGCGCCCCGGCGGTGTCCTGGCGCCGGAGGCCGAGCCGTCGCTCGCGGGGCGCGAGGGCGGCGCGGGGTGCCCCGCCACTCTCGCCGTGAGCTTCCAGCCCGGCCGCACCTCCCTACAGCGGGCGCCAGCGGCTTCGTCTTCGCCCCCCCCCCCGGTGCGGCATCCTCTTCTCCTGGAAGAAGGTGATGACGGCAGAAGCACAGATATGACTGGAGCTCCGCGCGGACTTTTGGGATCTGTGGACGCCCCCCATGGCGGCGCCGCCCTTGGCGCGCGTCGTGCGCCAGGGAGGGGGGTCCAGCGAGGATCCAAGAAACCCGCGCGGACCTCCAACTGTTTATGCTTATGCCGTTGTTTCTTCTTCTGCTTCCGCGGCCCGGGGGTGGCGCATGCGAGCTTTCGCGGGATGGTGCAACCGCCCCGCGCCGCAGCGAAAAGAAAGGTGAACCCAGAGGAGGCAGATTGAGGCGGGAGCGCTCACCGATCAAACATACACAGCTGAGAACGAGACATGGTCCGGACGAATCCAATCTTAGGCGTATCGTATGGGAGTTTGAATATTACATGCCAGGCTAAGTACCATTCGCCTAGTTGTGAGGTGGAGTGGGGAAGGCCTGGGGCCAGCAGGACAAGACGAAACGAGCAAGGGTCTGGATGCGCGGCGCCATTTTCTGTGAGCAGTGGAGCCAGGACTTGGGACAGTTTGGTTCGTCTCCTGTGTCCAGGTTAGCGCTGGAGAGAACACAGCGCCACAGCTGATGCGGGTTGCCATGTCGAGCTCCGTGTCCGCTGGAACACGTGTCCAGGTAATGGTTTTGGGGAATTGGGGCGGGGAGAGCAACACAGAGGCATGATGATGGGGCTGGTAGCTATCCGATAGGTCGCGAGCCCCACGCTGATCATTCACGGCCAGCGCGACCAGCTTATTTCGTGCCGCCATGGGGACTGACCGGCCGGCCGCGTCTTTCCGTCTCCTCATGCGTGTTTGTCTTCCTTGTCCTTCTCGCCACCATGCTTACCTTCCCCTCTTCCGTCGTCACCGCGCCAGTCCTGTTTCATGCGCCTGGGGTCAATCCTTTCCTTCCTCCGCCTCGTCCTCCTCCTGCCTGGAGGTGCCTGAGAGGCTTCCAGAGTTTTACAGAGGCCAGACAGCGTAAAAGCATATCAGGGTGAAGTGACCGAACGGTATTACACTTTCGCTGAGTGTGTGTGTGTGGCTAAAGTGGGGTTTCGCGGTGCGGCTTCATGTTCTCGTTGCCCGCCCAGCGACCCACCCGTGTTGTGCCCCGCGATCTTCTCTTTCTCTTTCTCTTTATCCTCCTCCTCCTCGGGTGCTTGTAGCAGCAGGGAGTCAGGAGGAGGGCCGCAAGCGTGTCTTATCTTTATCCTCCTCAGGTCTTCCGCGGGGCAGGACGCAGCGGTCTCACGAGGGACCAAGGGGCTCAGAAGTTGCCGTTGGCCGCCTCCTCCTTCTCCTGTTCCTCCTCCTCCTCCTCATCCTTCTCCTCCTCTTCCTCCTCCTCCTCCTCCTCATCATCATCATCATCATCATCATCATCATCATCATCCTTCTCTTGTCCCTCCTCGTCCTCTTCCCTTTCCACAGGATGACGAGTCTTCACAAGTTGTCGCAACAGGCTGGTTCTAGGGTCTGCATCCGCGGCGCCGCTTCGGGCCCGCAGACCACCAGACATCGACCCGTGACGAAGAGTTGACCATGATTGACCCGGAGAGGATTCTGGGCACCTCTCTTGAGCCGAAGGAGAATAATAGGAAAGAAACCTCTGGGGTGCCTAGAGCTCCTCAACTAAGAAACAACAGCACGTGACACCTGAACGGTGGTCTGACTGCAGTTTGCCACTTGACTCTGCAGGCGGGGGACGCTCGGGCCGCAGCACGCTCAGGCTGGGGGATTCCAGCTGAAGGGAAGCTGGGGCACCACTCAAAGTTATATCCACACTAAGACGAGCAACTGGTGGATAATTGAGCACACCAGCAGTATCATGTCGGTCGCCTATGGGCTCGGTTGCTTGGCATTGTTCGGGGCACGGGGGCAACCTGTTTTGTTTCATCCCCTGGGACCCCCGACGAACAAGTATTCGGGCTGAGGCAGGCTTCGGAGGCACGGGAGGACGAGGAGAGCGGAGGAACTTTATTGGCGGCAGCAGCGACAACACCCCTCAGAGCAGTTCCAAGGTTACCCTTGCATTCTTGCCACTTCGGCCCATCCTTAGCGACTTCGCTGGCCAACCTCGCTCGAAGAACGCCAACATGGCCCTCCAAGGCCCTTGCATCCTTACCGCGCATCCTTGCTGTGCGGGTCGACTGGACTCTCTCGCCCCCCCTCTCTCCAGCAGCTGTCGGAACCGCTCGTTCCCGACAGGCGCCCATCAGGATCGCGGCTCGCTGCCTGTCGCATTCCTCCGGACGTTCCGCCTCTCTCTCTCTCTCTCTCTCCAGCGTGCCCCTCGGGGCCGCTCCGAGTGTCCTCTGCCCGCCGACCCGAGGAGGAGGAGGAGGAGGAGAAGGAGGAGGGGACAGGAGGAGGAGGAGGAGGAAGAGGAGGAGGAGGAGGGGGAGTGGGAGGAGTAGGGGGAGGGGGAGGGGGAGGAGTAGGGGGGGGGGGGAGGGGTAGGGGGAGGAGGAGGAGGAGGAGGAGGAGGAGGAGGAGGAGGAGGAGGAGGACGAGGACGAGGAGAACGAGGAGAACGAGGAGAACGAGGAGAACGAGGAGAACGAGGAGAACGAGGAGAACGAGGACGAGGACGAGGACGAGGAAGAGGACGAGGACGAGCACGAGCACGAGGACGAGGACGAGGACGAGGACGAGGACGAGGACGAGGACGAGGACGAGGACGAGGACGAGGACGAGGACGAGGACGAGGACGAGGAGGAGGAGGAGGAGGAGGAGGAGGAGGAGGAGGAGGAGGAGGAGGGGGAGGATTCACACGAGCCTGCGCGCCCGCGCAGAGAACGTCACCCTCCGCCTGTTCTCCCGCCCCTCGACCCCCCCGCGGGTGGGCCGCGCACGGCGAGGGGCGGAGGAGCTCGGCCGGACCCTGACGCGGCAGCCGCATGAGTTTCTCCATCCTCGGAGACCGTCCCTCGCGGAAGGCAGATGGGGTGCCGTCAGGCCGGGGAATTTTCAGAGTACCCGCCACGATGGGCAAGCCGTGCTGCCTGGGCCCACCCGCTCCGCTAGGGCACGGCGTCTCGGCGCTATGGGCGCGGTTGCCTGCTGCGTCACGCTCGGTCAGCGCGGGCCGGACAGAAAAAGGAAGCAAGATGAGGTCGTCCCTTGCGGAACACCTCACAATCCTCCCCCTCGAGGGAGTCTGAGAGCCACGATCCATACAGTTCGCTTTCGATCGAGGGCTCGAGGGCCGACTCGGGGCCCTCGGAAGCCAGTCCACGTCAGAAGCAGGACGTCCAGCCCTGGCGTCGACAAGCGTTTGTGTCGCAGGCCTAGAGGTTGACACCAACACCAATATCGGCGGTGTGCCTCCACCGAGGGAAGATGATCCCGACCTCGGTGATGGTGGTAATGCTCGAGCTTCCTACGTGGCCGAAAGATCGCCACCAACATCGGAATATGTGACCATCTTCCCCCTGTGGGGGCACACCCCCTGTGTAGGTGTTGGTGCCCATTGCCAAGCCTCCAACATCCGCCCCTTTTTGGAACACCGGCTTCGACGAGGAGGAGGAGGAGGAGAAGGAGAAGGAGGAGGAGGGGGAGGAGGAGGAAAAGGAGGAGGAGAAGGAGGAGGACTGGGCACCACGGGTCCTGACCCATCGCACGCAGCACCGCCACGAAGTTGTGCGAAAACAAAAAGTGGCCACACGTCGACGGAGCTCCCCCCCGTCCTCCTTCTTCCGCTGAGCCTTCTTGTGGCACTGTACCTCCTCCTCCTCTGGCCTTGCCTCGACGGCCACCTGGTCGGCGGCCACGAGAAAGGTTACGAGGACGGCCCCACAAACGTCGCGAATGCCGCTTGAACTGGCCAGTGCAAGTGTGGTCGGCACGTTGACCAGAGCCACGCGAACACTTCTGCAGCGCACCTTCCCGCGCATTTCGTCTATAACCTTGCGCTACACTGTTGCCCTCCCCTCGGGTCTCCATCTTCGCCGTCCCACTTCTGCAGCATCCAAGCCGGCTGACTGTCCATCCCGAGAAAGTTCTCGTCGCGAGCATGCGGAGGCAGGAGGCACGGCGAGCGGAACAGGTCGCAAGTGCATTACACGATGTTCTTGCAGTTCAAAGAACTCAGTACGTAGCACCCCGCAATTGCGGATAACAGTGAGGGGGCGGGCGCGGGCGACGCGGGCGTCGTCGAGCCGGCGGTTTTCGTGGCCCCCACCTTCCTTGTAGATGGCGCTCTCATCCACCTCCTCCTCCTCCTCCTCCTCCTCCTCCTCCTCCTCCTCCTCCTCCTCCTCCTCCTCCTCCTCCTCTTTCTTCGTCCTCATCGTCATCGTCATCCTCCTCCTCCACGTCCTCCTCTTCTTCTTCGTCCTCCCTCTCCCCCTCTCGTTTTCTCATCATCGTCCTCCCCCTCATCGGCCTCCATCATCGTCCTCCCATTGTCGTCCATCATCATCATCATCATCATCATCATCATCAGCATCAGCATCAGCATCATCAGCATCATCCCCCTCCTACCCCTCCTCGTCCTCCTCCCCCTCCTCCCCCTCCTCGTCCTCCTGCTCCTCCTTTTCCTTTTCCACATTATCCTTACATCCTCTTTTCTTCCGCGTTTTCCTCGTCCCCAGTTTACTTCTATTGCCCCCCCTCCTTTCCCAAGATAACTGCAACGCAATCCTTTGTTCCACTTTATGCTCCCCGCCTTCTCTGATCAAGGCAATTCGCCAGGGCAAAGTTGCTGGACGGGCTGGTGTGGATGCGCGGGGCTTGAAGAGGTTTTTGTGGGTTCAGACGGCATGCAAAAATCCGCCGCCGCGCTTGTGCGGCATTGGTTTGTTCAGTGAGCGGGGTTTAGGTCGCGGGTGGGTCGCGGGCTCCCCACCTCCACCTTGAAGGAATGCCAAAGCAGCCCGCCGCCGGCGCCAAGAAAATGGTTTGCACTTTGAACGAAGTTTGGGTCGCGGCTTGGCCGCGGGCTCCCCACCGGGAACGAATGCAAAAGATGTCCGCCGCAGGCACCGAAACATGTGGTTTGTGCCCTGAACGTGGTCGCGGGTGGGCCGCGGGCCTTCCACCTGAAGCGAATGCAAAAGATGCCCGCCGCAGGCGCCGAAAAATGTGGTTTGTCCCTGAACGTGGTTCGGGTCGCGAATTGGTCGCGAGTTGGTCACGGGGTGGGTCGCGGGCTCTCCGCCTGGAAGGAATGCAAAAAAACCCGCCGCAGGCGCCGAAAATGATGGTTTGTACCTTGAACGCGGTTTGGGTCGCGGGTGGGTCGCCGGTGGGTCGCGGGGTAGGTCGCGGGTGGGTCGCGGGTGGGTCGCGGGTGGGTCGCGGGGTGGGTCGCGGGGTGGGCCGCGGGCGGGCCGCGGGGTGGGTCGCGGGGTGGGTCGCGGGGTGGGTCGCGGGGTGGGTCGCGGGGTGGGTCGCGGGGTGGGTCGCGGGGTGGGTCGCGGGTGGGTCGCGGGTGGGTCGCGGGTGGGTCGCGGGGTGGGTCGCGGGGTGGGTCGCGGGTGCGTCGCGGGGCGGGTTGCGGGTGGGACGACGACAAAAACAACAACAACTACAACAACAACAACAACAACAACAACAACAACAACGACGACGACGACGACGACGACGACGACGACGACGACGACGACAACGACAACGACAACGACAACGACAACAACAACAAAACCAAAACCAACAACAACAACAACAACAACAACAAACGACACCATCAACAACAACAACAACAACAAACACTAACAAACAACAGCAACGAGAATCCGCACCGCGGAATTCCACTTCAGCCACGC